ACTAAAGCGAAATTTTTCATTGGGGTTGTCTGGACTTTGTGAATTTCTGGAATTTCCTACATGGATGTGGTTTCTACTTTAATAATACAGTCGTTTTATTCACTCTCCTGCTCAATTGCTCTGTAACGTGCATGTTGCTATGGATTGTAGGTTACTTCTATTGCGTGGTGACTGAAATAAACTGATGTGGAAGAATCAGGTCAGATCGCTTTATTTTCGAGGCAAAACTATATTGGTTTTCATCATGTTGTCCAAAGGAACGTTCGTAATTTATATGAATATACTGGATTCAGTTTCCCTGATAAAAGCCCTGTGGAAGCAAATTTAAATATTTTCGTTTATAATAGAGGTGTATCGTAATAGAGTAAGGACTAGAAAGCCTTAATTGTACATTTTTAAGTGAACACTGCGAGATTTGTTGTTAATTGTTACAGTAAGCTCATTCGCAAAGTAAAGTTTTGCTGAATTTGTTGTTAATTGTCGCCTATCCGTTTCGACTGCACATCTTATCATGTCAAGTATTTGTTTTGAAGAGCTGTAATGTTGCTTAAAAAGGTTTTGAAATCGCCGATTTGAAAACCCATGCTAATAACCTTTTTTTCCTTATGGCTACTTACTCATAACATTGAGTAAAACAATGCAAATAAAGGCGAAGTACCCAAAAGCGGCTTCATCGGCTTCATCTTGCCAAGCTATGCTAAAGTATGGCTAAAAAACACACTGCCGATATTTTTTAAACTTGTTAAAATTTTCACTTTTTCACATTCAGAGCTGGACAAAGTCAAATTCCTCTTTGGCGCCCACTCGAATTGTGTCGCCATCACTCATCCTTTCGCCAGCTGTCATAAATGTGTGGTATAGGTTTTATATATTTTTCTGTTATGAGTATGTACCGTTGCACTTTTATAATGCTATTCTCAAGAATCATCTCAGTCATCCAATGATTATTAAAATTGATATATATACATAGTAAAATTTGTTGGATTAGAACTTTGAATTATGTTATTCTTTAAAGGCTGAGTTGTGCCGCTAGTGCTGGGACTTTTATTATTGCATAACCTTGTATTAGAAGCGAAGACCGAATCATCGAAAGGTTGTGAATGCGATCTGCATATTGTGCTTATTATTTGTGGTATAATATAAACATTCGTAGTAAGTAGTTTGTGTAGGGTAAGGTGAATACTAAGCACCTGAAATAGTGGAGATGTGAAATCATAGAATTACAGAAAGACTGTTTTGTTTTCCTTTCGTTCTCTATAGTTATGCCAATTAAGCAATTATTGTAGGTCTGTGTTTACCTTCAGTTAAATCGAAATCTGTATTGATGTTCGTTTGTTATATTTTGAATTTTAAGGTTTTCGCTCACTCGTAGCCATTTACCTTTCAGATGAGCAATTCGGCGGCCACGAGACCCACATCTGGTGGCACTGGGATCCGAAGTTTTTTCTCGAAATTACGTAAGCCATCCGACTTGCAAATATCTCCTGCTCAGGTAAGCACTGTATTTTGGCTTTAAATTTTCTGTCACTGAATGTCCTTAATATGGCAAAGTGAATTGTTTGTTTTTCATTTTTTAAATCAGTACTGTTCTTATGCATTTCATGTCAAAATTCCTATCTTTTGTTTCAGAAAGGTAACGAGATAGAGACACACAATTGAGGGTGTGAGTATTGCATCTGACTTTGAGTGCGTGCTAGATTTATTTTCCAACCAATCTTTCATTTACAAAGCTATCGCTATGTGGTTGTGGAATGGCATGGGCTTCTAAAATGTTACATATAGAATACCCAGCAAAACGTTTTTTAAAACTTTATTACCATAAAATAAAGTTGTATTAGTGGAAAATGTGTAGTGCTGCTAATTGTTTCCTCGCAGTTTAGATATTTTGTTCTCTAAGATTATGTGGCTTCGGATTGTGCATGAAATAATAGGTTTTGAAAAAATAAATTTGAAAACTGCATATTCGTTGAATTTAACACAGTTAGTTATTGCTTTTGAGCTTTTGATTGCTCTTTCCACTGACTGATCTTTTGCTAGGCGACCATTTAAAAAACTCAATTCTTTCGCAATTTCTATAAAGCTAACATATTTTCTCTCCGAGAGCACACTCGGAGTGCAAAAAGTTGGAAAACTCTTTTGTTTGATAGCTTCTCAGCTTCGCAGCCACTTGCATAAATGGTGCAAAATAAAGAATTTTTGTAGCCGTAGAGCTTTTTTTTTGTTCCATGTTTGTTTCTTAATTTAGAAGATTCTTTATTTTTTTTTTATTTATTTCAAGAGCCTAAAATGTGCTTGCATGTCGCCAAAATTTTGTAAATCGTAAATGTTGAAAATCAGTTTAATGTGCCGTTTCGTACGTTTATTTTAAAATATTTCTTCTGTTAAAATTCTGTAATTTTTGAGATTCCGATTTTAAATAGATAATTAGGTACGTTTTTCAATTTGAATGAATAGACTATATGATGACGAATATGACAGTATCGAAATCACCGTTTGATTTATATCGCAAATTAAGTACCCATTATTTCTTGTGATTGAACAGGTAGATGCTACGCATTTTTTTTTAATTGACGAAAAGTATTACTGCTATTTAGGATTTTTTATATTACAAATTGAATTCTTTTGTATAAGTTGTGCTGCGAGGAACTTCTTTACTTGGTGGAAATTATTGGATAAATAGCTTGATAAACTCTCTTTGCAAGTTTTTTGTGGCTCAAAATGAACTGGTTCTGCAAGCCTACTGTGAAATAAAAACCAATAAAAAAATTTGTTTGGTACTTTATAGGTTTCCAGTCTTTTGATTTTATTTTAGGGTTGATTGGTTTCATCTTCTCCAGTTCTGTTTTTCATTTGATAGATCGGCATACTTTTGTTATGAATGGTAGTATTGCATCTTTTCTTCTGCTTAAATGAAATTGAATGTACACTGTGCTAATTCCATTTTGTTTCAAGTTTTTTTCCTGTGTCTGAAATACGTGCGCTTGTATTCATTTCCTCTACCAAGGTTAGGTTAGGCTGCACAAATTGTTCGAAACTCGTCTTTTTATTTTGACTACCACATTTATACCTCAGAAGCCCTTATTTACGTTTTCTAATATCTGATCTCGCCTTTTTTTATATTTTTGAAAACTAGATTAGAATTGGGATTCCCAGGATTCCTTGTTTCATAACTACAGAAATGTGGGACGTTCAATATAAAACTATGGCTTATGGAAATATTATGGATTTCTTGTAATAGATACATTTTCCAATGTAGCCTAATGCTTCATGCTCTTCTAGTTTTTTTCAAGCAATTAATTTGCTTTATCCATCAGTTTTTTTCGTCGAAATTGAAAATATTGAAGTCCACGAAATCGATACAGTGGTAATATAAAAGATCATATTTCGTATTTATTCTTATGACTATAGTATCAGTATTCGGAGGTACTGAATTTATTTATACCTGACCGTATAAAAAAATTAATGGAAGCAGATGCCTATACCTTATTTTTTCTCGTTATATCAGCCACAAATCACTAGAAAGTGGATCTTTAGAGTAATGTTCAAATTAGGAAAGGGCTTGCTTATTTGTAATTGTTATGTTATTTGTAGATCATCCTTACAACAGAGCAATCAAACAATGTGATTTTGCGCATTTGTATAGTATTTATAAAGAGTCGCCATTATTGAGAAAATATTCTGAAAGTCAAGATGCGCAGCATATGAAGTGATTTTTCAACGACGTTTCTTTTTTGTGAAGACATGTATCCAAATTTTGGATTTTACTGATAAGAAGCTTCGAAAAATACTTTTTTCAAGATGTTGTCTCGTGGCTATTTGAATGGATAGGGTATAACGTCAGAATTTACTGTTTTTAACTGGACAATAGAGGTTAATCATAAACATTTATGTAGTTTGTGTATTCAAATTTTTAAATTAAAACAGTATCGAAGTTCGAGAACAATTCGGTACGGCTTTATATGAATAAAATTAGTTATAATACTTGCTATTTTGACATTATGCAACACAAAAACTGTGTGTGGTTGGGTCGATAGCATCGCGAAACCAAGGCAACATTAAGGATAATTAGAAAATGGGGAAATACAGCTGAAACGTGTCAATCAATGAAGTTATTTCATTAGGTAGTGAGAGATAAAGCAGTAGCGCATATCTTACGCGCAAAAATTATGGACCATAAATGAATTTGCCTACTATACTATTCCTAAATTTTCATAATGTGTAGAAATTAAAACAAGATAGGATTGATGGACTTTTGGGGATGTGCCACTCATAGCAAAGAAACCAAACTTGAGCCAATATTAGGATATGAATAGTTTTCTTATAATCGGAGACGCTCTAAAAATGAATGGATATAGTCTTTCATTTATATTGTAGTGTGATCAAATGCATTTCACTCTTACGAGATATGTGTGAGCAGGGGCAAAAAATAATCATCTTATTATCATAGGGGCAAAGTGCTTAATGCTTTCATTGATAGTACGCATTTTTGCAAGTTTTGTTGCCTTTAATGCTTGATCCACACACATTAGTATATTGTTTAGTTCATTGGCCACAATATGACTTGGCTAATGAACAAAACATTGTCAGCTGACCCCAAGCGGATGTGAACATTTAGATATATATATATATATATATTTGTGTGAGTATGTGTGTGTATGTATGTATGTATGTCACTGCCTAGTTGTCTCGTTTGCATATAGTGGGGAAAGGACGACGATAGAAAAATTCGCGTCCCCTCGTCATCGCTCGAAGCTTTGGAACGCTGCACTCGACTAGTCTTTTTACTGGTTTGCTGCAATCATTGCAGAAACGCTGCTGTTACTGTCGGCGATTGTTTGTGCGCGTTGCTTAAGCTTGTTTGGACGTATGATGTGGTGGTGGGTTAGTTGTATCATATGGTACTAGCGTGATTAAAAGCGAAGTGGCGTAGATCTGGGTCCCGCATCGGTTTGAACCGAACTATTCTATCGCCAACTGATCGCCTCTTTACTGTTGGAAATATGCTACAGCATTCGGCCCCATTTGTTCAGGTTCTCTTTGCTCTTAATTTTTACACGCTTCATTTCATTTTTCACACGCTTCTTCATTCATTTCTGTGCTGACGCACGGAAGCAAGTTTTCATGTTCATTATTGCAAAATTATGTAAACAAATGAAAAGTATTTCACCCGCAAAAGATTAAGAAGGTTGGTAAAGAAGGATACTAAGTTATAACAAGCTTCAAAAATTAATCTCTAAAAGATCACTATCTACTTCATCGTTCTGTTATTTGGAATTAGCTTTTTTTCACATTTACTGACGACTCGGAACAGCCTACTAGGCTTTGGAAATACCTATTTAGTTAAAGTTATCTATATTTTAAAGGGAAGGCTAGTCACTCTCATTACTTTGATAGTTTTATTTGAGTGGGCATACTGTTTCCCTTCCCGGACTAATTATATGCAATGCATTTCGAGGGATAGACAATTTTTTTTGTGGTTTCATATATGCAGTACATTTCGAGGGATAAAATAATTTTTTTTGTGGCGTAATATTATCACATGGTATCAAAATTCAAAATTTGGTGGGTACTGCCGCACGTCCTCTTGTTTGAATAATTGATAAGGCTTGTTATGAATTTTTTTGATTTGGATTTGACACAGTCGAACTGTATTGAAGGCTTAGTTGATTTGGAGAGATTTTATTTTGACGTTATAATATATATTTTATTCTTGACATGCTGGTAATTACCAGTAATAGTAACTGAATCGATCCCGTGGTCATTCATTCTCCTTTGGTCGTAGATCCGTGAAGACAGTTGAGACTGCGGCCTGAAGCAGCAGTCCCGACAAAATTTTATAGCTGGTGAGTAGAAAAAATACCCTGAATCTGCCAGTAATTAAGCAGCTATATTGCCTTCGAGTTGGGCGATGTTTCGCGAGTTCTATTCTGTGAAATGGACAAATGGTGTAGGCGAAAGTGATGTTAATTAAGATATCACATGATAGGAAAAAATGATAGCAAAAAAAGGATCGTTTCGACATATATAGACAAACGGTAACTCAACGATCATATACCCCTACTTGTAATGATGCTAAGAGCCATGGATAGGCAAAGAGCGCTCTGTGATCAAAGGGTACTTAGCATTTGCAACTACTGGCGAACAAGGCAACTTATTATATCCTTTGGAGACAAAGCAAGCAAAACGAACAAAGGTTTAGCTTAACATTTGAGACAATTTAACGCATTTATGAGTAATTTCTATAGTATGAACTGAATAAATGATAAATTGGAACAGTTTTCTAAAATGCAAGTGCTTCGATTATTTAGATACATCAATTGTTTTATAAGTTATCTCAGATTTTCAACAAGGCTGGAATGAAGTACATTTGAAATCAGCAGGTGTGCACCAATTGTTTTGATAGCATTAGTGAAATCAATATTGATAGTGGGCATTCATGATTAACCGACTTGCTCTAGATTATTTCGCTGAAACATACTAATATTTCGGTATCAGTGATTTCTTTCAGTCTTTTTTATGATTTATTTTTTCAACTTTGTGTTCATACTGGCACATAACTTGGCATACGGTGTCCAATTTTCATTTTTGGTTCTTTTTTAATACTTCATATTAAAATAAAGCTTCGAAAAATCATATAGGGCTATAGAGTATAGTTTGTGGTCTAGACACTTGGAGGGATGGGCATGACTTGCTTGATAGGATCACTTGGTTCTTTTGCTTCATGGCAGCTAGATGATAACTTAGCAAGCTAACTATTCTCTTGATTTGATTATCTGTCTAGCAAACATCAGCAGGTTGGTTATCTTTGGGCTCAGAAATAGATGCACATTTGTTCTGTTTGCTTATATGATTCATGATCATAGTTATTAGCTAGTTGATGCAATTGCTGTTTTGTAACAGCTTTTAGCGAATTCCATCTTGTAAATAAATCTGCTGATGAATTAGTTCTCATTGATTAGGTTGCAAAGTGCAGAAAGACATATAAATGAAGTGAAGCATCACTTTTCTCGATTCTCTGTCTTTTTTGAAACTCTGTTTCCATATGCTCACCACAGCTTTCGTTTAATTCTTTGAGACATCGGAAGAAAAATAAAGGGAGTAAAGTGAGATTTTATGAAAATTTGATTTTTGCAGAATTTACATACAATAAAGCAAAGTTTTTATGAGACTGTTAAATTGAATGGACAGTATAAAAAATTTAATTTTTGGTTATGGAATGGATGGTGAAGTGAGAAATGCTTAAACAGTTGAAAGAAAACGAAAAAGAAGATTGGTATCAGCAATGTTCCTTTGTCATTTCATTTTAGTATTTAACACTTATAATTGTCAAAAATAGAGATACAAAATCAGTCTCAACTACAGAAATCTAGTGAGTGGGAGTAAGGAGTGTTTTTCAGTTTATCCAGTAGGTAAAAACCACTACTGTTTGATTCTGATGCTGAAGTTATTTAATTTTAAATGCAGACTGTGCGACTTACCCCTGAACTTGATTCTTTTCGAATACGCAAAAAGTACCATTTTTCATGGTATCAAGAAATGAAGTAAAGTTAAGAAATCTAAGGTCATTTTGTAATTTTTGTTTTTTAGGTACAAGTAGGCACACGTACCTATGATGCCAACGAAATCCAAAAGCTTATCCCTCAACTGGAGGAAACTATTGAGAAAAAAGAACGTCAAATTCGACAGCAGCAAAGTACCGTGGAAACACAGTTGAAAAGGATCAATGAACTGGAAAAAGAAGTGAGGACATTACAGGTATATTTTGCTAATATGAAGGGAATCGATTAATTTTTGTTTTAAACTTTGGAGTATTGTTTCGGAAAGTCATTCTTTGGGGCTGTGACTTGTGAAAATTTGATAATTTATGTTAAAATTATTAAGCTGTAGTGACTCAAGTTTACCTCCCTCTTTGTATAACTGATTTTGTTCAATTATTTTCAGTCAGAATGTGACAAACTTCGTTCAGTACTTGATCAAAAAACACAATCCGTTGCAGCATTGAGCAGCAGTCAAAAGGTAGGTATGTTTGCTAGTACAAAAGTAAGCAGGGTGCTTACTTTATTTTGATATATCTTATATGAATTTATTGCTTGCAGATTTCATGGGGTACTGAAGAGTTGCGAACTGAGCTTCAGCAGAAGGCGGTATTGCCAACTGCCGATGATGGTGTTCGTTCCAAGAAAATGGCAGTATCTGCAGAACCAGCTAGTCTCGATACGCAGAAAGCTACTTTGCAACACCATCCGAAATCTGCTGGGTTCGTACAGTTTGCTCACATTCTTTATTCTTGATTATTTTAATAAAGCAGAGCTATTTTAGAAATAACTCTTACATTACAGCATAAATAGATGCGGAAGTTAATTTTATAAAAGTGCTCCATGTTTCTACGAAGTCTAAGAAGCAGTTTCGGATGTAGTAATATATGATGAAACTGTGTGTTAAAATCCGTGGTACTGAGTCCATCAAATTTTCAACTTTAACAGTCATGCACTTTATTAGCAAACTCTGTACTAATAAAATTAATTGATTTACATTGTTTGCAAGCGTGATAAAATTGTAGCTTGTTTTAATTTCTTTCGGTTATCATAATTTATAACATCAAGCACTGGGATTCAGTATCAGGAAGAAAGATTTACTTTTTTCTCCGAGTTGAGTCTATTGTAAACGTAAGGACAACAAAACTTGCTAAAAAAAATGTTGGAATAGCACGATTCATCTTGTTAAGATGAAAACATTAACTCAGGACAAAAGTACCAACTCAGTTACTGACTTCACTATTTTCGTTGAATATAGAGAAGCTGTTCTAGGAGTTTATTTTTTGTTTTTATAGTTATTCCATAGCTTTTTAATTCAGTTCGAAACAGCTTATTCGGGATGCAGTTCAGAAGAATGACTTCTTGCGACAGCTTGCTAAAGAGCAAGTTATAGAACTCGTAGAATGCATGTATGAAATGCGTGCTCGTGCAGGTCAATGGGTCATACAGGAGGGTGAGCCCGGAGATCGACTGTTTGTTGTCGCGGGTTTGGTTCCTACTCTATTTTTAATTACACTTTGTTTTTTCTATTTAATAATATTTTGAGAAAATTTGTTTTTCGCATTATTTCCGTGTCTTTGGGGTAACCAACAAGACAAGGTATTGTTATGACATTATCGTCAGGTAAAAGTATTTAAATCGAAACGTACGTGTTATGAAATGTCATTTTAGAGGGACAGCTTCAAGTATCACGCGAAGGTATTGTGTTGGGAAAGTTGGGAGCAGGAGTCGTTATGGGTGAACTTGCTATACTTTATAACTGTGTTAGGTAAGTGCTTCAGATTATCGTGAATCTGTGTTTTTATCTTGGGTTGAATTCCTTGTAGGTTTGTATTCTTTGTTGATATATTCTTTGCAAACATTTTGAATCCTCTCTGCATATTAAAACCTCTAAACTTTTTCTCGGTGGCTGCAAAACTTCCGAGTGCACGACCTATTGAAAAATTTTTTCGTTGTCTGAAAAAACTTTTCGAAAGTTTAAATTGGAAGAAACACTGGTAAATCCATTTGTTATGTGTTAAAGGTGTGTTTTTTAGTCGTTCACTTGAAAGAAAATTTGTTTTTAGAACAGCATCTGTGCAAGCATTGTCAGATGTTCAGTTATGGGTTTTGGATCGTTCTGCTTTCCAATTGATTACTATGCGTTTAGGCATGGAAAGACATGCACAGCTAATGGCATTTCTTAGCAAAGTTTGTTTATGCTCAATATTTTGAAAACGTATATATTAGAACATATTTTCTGGATATGTGGAGGTTACTGAGGTCTCCTACTGCTGGTATCAAAAATACCATGCATAAGCAATCTACTCTTTCTTACAATTCAGATTACTAATTCATTATTGCAGGTATCGTTATTTGAAAATTTATCGGAAGATCGAATATCAAAAATTGCTGATGTTTTGGACCAAGATTATTATTCTGGTGGGAATTATATTATTCGAGAAGGAGAAAAGGTTTTTTTTTTTTTTTTTAGCTAAATATATCAGTTCGTATGGAATCAGTGGAAATGATTGATAATTTTGGTTCGGTAAATTTGGTTAAGTCCTTTTAATATTGTGCTGTATTTTCTATAAAAACTTTATTTAAGGGTGACACATTCTTCATCCTTACAAATGGTCAGGTTCGTGTTACACAGCAGATTGAAGATGAGCCGGAACCTCGAGAGATACGTATTTTAAAACAAGGCGATTTCTTCGGTGAAAAAGCCCTTCTTGGTGAAGAGGTCTGTTTGTATGCAGTATATTAATATTGTCTACTTTTGTTACGCTTTTTTATTCCATCTAAGTTTTTTCCAGGTAAGAACAGCGAATGTCATCGCAATTAATCCAGGTGTTGAGGTTCTGACACTTGACAGGGAGTCATTCGCAAAATTAATTGGAGATCTCGAAGCCTTAAATCGAGATTACGGGGATTCACAAAGGAGAGCCACTGTGTGAGCAATCATTTTCCTCAATTGTTCACAGGTTTTTACATTTTCTACCTGAATAGGAAGTGTTGTATGAGTTAGTGACGTTATAGAAACATTTTATTTCAGTGTTGTACCTGAGCCACTATCGCCAAAAAAGACTGCTGAGGAAAAGGAATTTGCTGATTTGCAATTAAAAAATTTGAAAAGGATTGTTACACTTGGTGTTGGTGGTTTTGGTCGTGTTGAATTGGTTCGTGTTTTGGATAGCGAAATTTCTTGACATGTTTATTGTTTTATCTTCAAGTGGTTGTAATACAAGTAGTATAGAGTTGTAAGCTGTTGCTTTATTCAGAGAAAAAACTGTTGTCACTATATATCTTCATGTCGTTGTTCGAAAAAACGGTGCTGGTCGTTTTGCATTTGTTGGTTGTTTGGGTTCTTTTCCTAACCGTTCAGTAAACGCCACGTTACATGTGGTAGTGTCTTTTCAACTGGTTTAATGCTTCGAGAATACTTCTTGTTATACTTGCTTTAATACTGCTGAACAGTCGTAATTTCCATATCTTGAGATGTTTAGGTTGTTCCCGTGTTAGTATAATTGATATCGCCTGAAAAAAATGATTCAGGTTTGCATCAATGGTGACAAAATGCGGACATTTGCATTGAAAGCTTTGAAAAAGAGGCATATTGTAGATACAAAGCAACAAGAGCATATTTTTGCTGAAAGAAATATTATGATGGAAACTCGTTCAGACTGGATTGTTAGGTAATTCGAAAGATATACGGTTTTATTTTGATGTTGTTCAGTTTATTTAAAAATTCATATGTAATTTTTATGTTTCATCGTTATTTAAATCAGGTAGCTGTCATCTATTCCAGTTTTACTGAAACCATTGCCTCACTGTTTTTAGGTTATACACAACATTTCGTGATGCCAAATATGTTTATATGCTGATGGAAGTTTGTTTGGGTGGTGAGTTATGGACTACGCTTCGAGATAGAGGGCATTTCGACGACTATACCGCTCGATTTTATGTCGCTTGTGTTTTGGAAGCACTTGAATATCTTCACAGAAAAAACATTGTTTACCGAGATTTAAAGCCAGAAAACTGCTTACTCACCCAAACAGGATACCTCAAACTTGTAAATGTCCATTTATTATGCATAATATATTTTTGTTCCATTCACATTTTTTTTTGGTTTATTATATGTAATACATCTTTGTCATTGAACTAAATCGTATTGCTGATATTGCTTGATCCAGTTGACATTTTGCAGGTCGATTTCGGTTTCGCAAAAAAGTTAGCAAGTGGACGCAAAACATGGACTTTCTGTGGTACACCGGAATATGTTTCACCTGAAATTATTCTTAACAAAGGACATGACCAGGCAGCTGATTATTGGGCATTAGGAATTTATATTTGTGAATTAATGCTCGGTCGTCCACCATTTCAGGTACAACTTATTGTTAGAGAAATCAAGTTTTGAAATTTATACATAAGCAAATAAAGTGGTGAGAACTTTCGGAATAACTTAGAAAAGTTGCCTATAACATTTTGAAGTATGAGAAAAGATAGTCAGATCCCGTATTTATTCTTTATTTCTTAGGCCGCAGATCCTATGAAAACTTACACGTTAATACTAAAAGGCGTGGATGCCTTAGAAATTCCAAATCGGCGAATTGGGAAAACGGCAACGGCTCTTGTTAAGAAACTCTGCAAAGATAATCCCGGTGAACGTCTTGGGTGCGGTAGTGGAGGTGTTGGTGATATTCGTAAACATAGGTATGCCGTTTACTTTTTCCCTTCAATCAGATTATGGAAATAAATGGGTAAGTAACTTTTCTCTTGTTTGAATATCAGTATGACATGTTTGCTTGACTTCTTCAAAATAGCATAGTGCTCCATTAAAGAATTTAGTGATGTGCTTCAAATCTGAAAAAAAAAGAACATAATTTCTAACAGGATATTTTTTAGGTGGTTTATGGGTTTCGACTGGGAAGGGCTGAGGTCAAGAATTTTGAAAGCACCAATTGTACCAAAGGTGGCAAATCCCTCGGATGTAACAAACTTTGATAGCTATCCACCGGAGCAAGACGTACCACCTGATGAGTTTTCTGGTTGGGATGAAGGCTTCTAAATTTATGAACCGATCAGAATTATCGTGGCAAATGTTTACAAGCATGGAATCAGATTAGAATCAGCAGTTACTATGGAAGCAGTATTTTTTTGAACAGTAGAGAATGCGTAATGCAGGATTTGTGTGTCGGTGATTGTCTGTGATTAGGTAACGCACGCTACTGTATATTCATCGAAGATCATACACTTCTGTAAACAATTCTTTTCAACTTAGCTTGGAGTATATGTAGTTGTAACTCTTTTTACTTTTAGCGGATTCTGTGTATCCCGTAAGAGTGACTCCTAAACGCCTATCACTTTTGGTCTCTTTTATGTACAGATGTATATTGGATGTTTTCAAAATTTATTGAATATTTTCTTGATTATCAATCAAGGCTTGGAAAGAAAATGGTAGAGCAGATAAGAGATCACATTAAATTGTTCTTATTCATTTTAACGATACAGTTTAAACGTTTTTGTAAAACTATGCTTTCGTCACGTCTGTTTCAGCTTTCTCCCATTTAGTTGATAGTTGTTGAAATCCATACATGCAGCACATACGTGATCGTTCCATCCTATTTAGTATCATAAAGTATGTGGTTTGGTAACTGATGCATTTGATGTTTAAATTCTGTGAATAGGAAAAAGTAATGAGATTTTCCTTCTTTTTTGTTTTTTTAAATGCTGGGTCAATTTGTATTTTATTTAATTTTTCTAAAGTCTTACTTTTGTCTTCCAATCGTATCCTATAACGAATTGTGTAAGTTTGCTATTATGTGAATGTTCTGTTATAAGCCGCTACGGTCATGAGAGACGCAATTAAATGTGGTGTACGTATTTGTTCGTGTACATTGCTGCTGATATTCATTTCTTAGTGTGTCAAGTAGATGAATAATTTTTTCTTTCTTCAGTTTGTCCTTTGAGTAACATTTTACAACGTTTAATATGTGCAAGGCACAGTTATTTCCGTATATTCACTATGTATGACTAAAGCGTAGTTGCATAAATCTCATCGCTCATTACCATGGACAGATATCTTGCAGCAATAATTTCTATTAGATATGTGCTTCGAACTTTCATGAAAAAGCGGACTGTGAACTCTTCTGGATATTCTCGCCTCCCGGAATTCTCGTGCTGACTTTATGGATTTTGCAAAAAAGACTGCAGATTTGTTGGGAGCTATACAAAATATACAGCTTTAGATTTAAGTTTTTGTACGACAAGATTGTGAACCATTAACTATTGAATGTTTTGCTGCCCATGAGTTACTTTATAGCTTTGGCCAGAATTATCGAAGTTCAGAATAAGAGAGGTGAGGTCAAAAAAAATTTCATTTGCAGGTGGATGAAATCCGGGAAAACTTCAAGTGGTCTGATCTTTAAGTAGATAAGCCTGATTTTTATCGCCCCATAGACCATTGTGGAACTATTGAGTGTTTCAGCTGGTGAATGGGGTTGGGATCTCATTACTTGCGCAGCGGGCTCTAATCTAGGGCCTGCAAGTCGATTGTTTTCGTTTGTCTTTCTTTATTTGTCTGCTTTAAATGCTGTCTTTCAATCATCCAGGGACCGTCGGATCATTCAGAAATCATCAAGACTAGAACTATTCGGGTTCAAGTGTGCTTCCTCAGTGATAGCATGAATACAAGATCAATGCGAGGGAAGAAGGAGGGCTCACTTTTACCCTTAAAAACTGCAAATTAAATTCCTAAAATACGAAGCAGGTAAATAATACCTCAGCTCTTTGAAAATTCCAACACGAACAGCCATGCCGATACCAACAAGTCCTCAGTACACTTCTCGCTTGTCGAATCAGCTTTCTCTGGGTCGCCCTGTACCACCACAACCAAAATCTTAATGTGAGAGACGTCACCTTTCATTGCGCTCCATTTTCCGCAGGTTGATGTGTTCAGAGGACGGGCTGACGACAACTCCTGTATCTTAATTCAGGTCAGTAACGAGTGATCCGAGATCCTTTTTCTGGACATGCCGATGTTTTAACTATTTTCTTTAGTTGTGTGAGTAATGTAAGAAATATGTCATCCGATAGTTTGGTTATTTTGCGCTGCCGCACGCTTGTCTCTTGCGGCAACAGACGTATAGCTAGCGAGATTGATTTGATGTTTCAGAGAGAATTTCGGATTTTAAAATAGTGGATTGGTGAAGCAAACAATGTAAGACTAACTCTATACTAATAAGAAAATAAGGATAGAGGGGCAAAAGATTGGGCACGCTTTTGGTCACCATTTGAGTGGTAATTGACAGGTGTACCACTGGTTAGTATCGATGTCAATCCAAAAATATTTCAACTGGTAACCTCCGCTAGTAGTGCTTCTGCATAGGACATGATAAGGGATGAAAGAGGATTACTTTGTAGAGGAATGAAAGACAATGTCTCTCGCGAGGTTTTGCTTATGGTGGTACAGGGAAATTTGGTTTGACATCAAACAAAGGGAAGTGTACTGGAGGCTTGTGGGTGTGACGTGGCTGGCCATGCTGGGGTCTGAAAAGAACGGAAAGGTCATACTGGTTATTTTGCATTTTAGGATATTTTAGGATATATTTAGGACATTTTAGGATATTAATTTGCAGTTTTGGGGGAATGAGTCCTCTTTTCGCATCGATGTAAATTCGTGCTATCTTTAAGGAAGTATTCTCCACTTGATTGCCGAGCCTGGCGTATCCTGGATAGTTCTGGTGATCCCCGGTTAACCTTTGGTGGTAATCTTTGAAACTGCAGAGATTTCATTATTAGCAGTTCCTTGTTATTTTTTATGTGATTTAAATATGTATTTGGGTCTTGGATAGTTTTTTTCTACATTGTAGTATATAATTTGCTCGCAAGTAAAGACGTTTTTATTGTTTACGCGAGTGAAAGTTTTGAACGGTTGTTTTTTTTTTCCAAAGCCAACAAACTATCCAGATATTTTTATTTCTTGTTTTTAATATGAACTTAATAGAAACAGATATGCCTTCGCTTGTTTCTGGAGCTTTGATATTTTATAAAAGTTAATGTGCTTCAGTTCAACAGATTTGAATATAATATTTCAATGAATGCCCAGAAGAAGAAAAATCCTAGAAACAAAGGTTTGTTTGGAAGAATTTGACACTTCTTAAATGATAACATTTACATGGCCAACTTTTTTAATATTTTTACCAGGACTGCGAGACCTATCCAATTTTTTCAGAGTATTGTGCGTCGTCCCCATCTCCTCTCCCCTTCTTTCGATGTAATGGTGTAGTGAACCCACAATCCCTCCTTTCTCATAAAAGAACCTAAAATGTTAACCATAAAACCGTTTTGCTTATTTCACCAATTGCTCAGATTGTTTAAGGTTTAGTTTGCTGGTTTTAGTGAATTAATATTAAATTTCCAGCGTATGATCATTCTTAACTTGCTTCGGTAGTTAGATCACGAGCTTATCAAGATAATACGAGTTCACCAATTATTTACAGAAACCAGCGGTCTTGATGATTTAGACGCGATACTGATGGAGGTCGAGCTAGAGACTCGTAAGAAGGCAGTTGCAGCTGCAGCAAAATCAACGAAAAAAACTGGAAAAGGTATGTAATTAAATTCAGCAAATCTAGACTGAAGAAGATACGCTGTCGATTGTTGGTTTTACTTTCGGTCTCAAGAAAAGGTCGAGAAAATGAAGGGACTTGGCCTTGCCAGAAAGAAAAAAGACACCGTGTCACTGTTTTTAAAGGGTACGGTGCTTTTACCTCATTGTTGATAACAACAAGTCAATGTTGACCAGAATATTTTGGGATTCACAATTATTCTTCGATTTTTTAAACGTAATGGAAGAATTAAAAGGGTTTTTATTCAAAATTTTCAGGTCAAAGGTTCTTAAATATATGCAGATTTTTAGCTAGTGATTTGTTAGAAATTTGAATTAATACGCCTGATGTATCTGTTTTACAGGACAGGGACCAAATAATAAACCACCGCCTGCACAGACGAAATCACTTTCGGAACAATTTGAAGAGGAAGTAAAAGATTTAGTTCCAGTTGACGAGCAATTTCCCGATGGGAATTTCCCTGTTGGGGAACTATGTGAATACACTGCTAAGGCTGATGACCGTACTGCCGTTAATCGGATGACTAATGAAGAAAAAAAGGTATACAAAGGAATTTATTGCAAAAAATAGATCTGATATTCATGTACATGAAATATATTTACAGAGTTTGGATGCATCGTATGAGGAGACATATAAAGACTTTCGTCGCGCTGCGGAGGCACATAGACAAACACGGAAATATGCACGATCCTGGATTAAGCCAGGAATGACAATGATTGAAATCTGGTAGTTTTAGTCCCAACTTTTGTTCGATTTTTATAATACCAACAACTTTTTCTAATGACAATGTCTTATGCTTTATGTACGTCTGTAGGGAATGCCGATAATATTATACAGTATTCCATATTAACTCATTTAGCTTTATTTAGTGTAGTTCTGCTGTTACAGTTTTGTAATAAAGTTCAGAATTTAGTGAGCGCCTTGAAGCGCATTCACGTCGGATGATCAATGAGAATGGACTGAAAGCTGGACTTGCTTTTCCAACCGGCTGCTCACTAAACAACTGTGCTGCGCATTACACCCCAAACGCTGGCGACACTACAATTTTACAAGTTTGTCTTTCCAATTTTCCTCGTTACGATTTGAATAGTGAATAAGTTATGATTTGTTTCGTTATAGGAAGGTGATGTTTGTAAAATTGATTTTGGTGTTCATGTCAATGGACGCCTTATCGACTGTGCATTCACACTTCATTTCGATCCGAAGTATGATGATTTAGTCAATGCAGTACATGAAGCTACTAATGCGGGGATTCGAGAAGCAGGTATTGATGTTCGTCTGTGCGATATCGGCGAGACAATTGAAGAGGTTATGAGTAGTCACGAGGTAAATTCTTAATGGTTGCTGTTACTGGGTGAGCATCGAGAACATTTGTCTTAATTTTATCACGCTACCAGTAGAAGTTATGATGTACTTCTGAACAGAAGATTCCGTTAGATGTTTTGTAAATGCTTAGAAAACTTTCTAAAAAGAACAAAAGGATTTCCTGTCTTTGACCGCATAGTTGAATGTTACAAGTGGTATTCAATTAGATCGAACTGGATGGCAGGACTTATGTCGTAAAACCCATCAGAAATTTGAACGGACATTCAATAGGACCGTATCGCATTCATGCTGGAAAAACCGTTCCAATAGTAAAGGTAAGTTCCAATAAATCAGTTGTAACATAGCTTAACTTTTTTGCCACTTGAAGGTCTAATCTATCATTGAAGTTTTTGAAAAGTGATGTTTCTACATATATGCAAATCATATTATAGGGAGGCGAACAAACGAAAATGGAGGAAAACGAATTTTATGCTATTGAAACATTCGGTAGTACTGGTAAAGGCTATGTTCATGATGATATGGAGTGCAGTCATTACATGAAAGATTACGACCTTCATTCTGAACATATTCCGCTAAGGTTTGCATCTATCATTATATGATTTCATATTCAGCAGCCAAAGAAACCCAAGGGAATGAGGGCATTTTTCGAAAGCATGCAAAATGTTATTCTTAGCTCTTGTGAGCTCTTTGTTGCAAGCACTGCTGCCATCGTAGTGAATTGGATTGTCACTCTTTATTCGATAGCATTGGACTTAGAAGTGACAGGACATCTTGCAAAAAGTTCGTTGAGTAATAAGACTGTGGAGTAGGTGTTTCCCTCTGCTTGAAAAATTTTTGGTACCAGGAAAGTTATAACAAAAAAGGAAAGGCAATGGCAAATTTTCCCGATGCTAGAAAACTAGCCTTCCAAGTTTTCTTGAAAATTATAGATTAGCCCGATCGAAAAACTTGCTAAATGTCATCAACAAGAATTTCCGGACGTTGGCTTTCTGTCGAAGGTGGTTAGATCGTTTGGGAGAGACAAAATATTTAATGGCATTGAAGGATTTGTGTGACAAAGGTATTGTACAAGCTTACCCTCCATTGTGTGATGTTAAGGGTTGTTACACTGCCCAGTGGGAACACACAATTTTATTACGACCAACTTGCAAAGAAGTGGTGAGCCGTGGTAATGATTACTAATTGTAGTTCATTGGAAAGTACCTACTCGTACTCATCTCGTTAAGTGATTTCTTTTTTTTCCGCAATAAAATAAATGGTTGATATACTTACACTTACCACATTTCGTAACTGCTTATCTTGACGGCTTATAAATAAAATTGAATGTTGCCTCATAGTGCAAAGTTATCATGTTATAGACTCGACGAATGGTATATATCTTGATTTGACAAAAACTTGAAATGACTCATATGGTGCTGGTGCACGACGCTGACAACTCTCCTCTTTAGGATATCACTAAAATGAGTTGCGGGCAGTTTTATTTGCAACTTACTACATAACATAATGCAACGAACACAAACTGTCGTTTTCAACTGGGAGCTCGAATGCACATATACATATACTAGAAAAAAACGAAGACAAGGAATCAGATTTGCTTAACAATATATATTACTTTTAAGTACCCGTAAAGGCAAATAACATGCCTGTTTTAAAATAAGAGCCACCAAGAATTATGCCAATGCCTTAGGGTCCTCTAAAGAAGGCATGGATCAATGGTAAGGAAACGGCTATAAGAGCATATAGAAAAACTACTTCAACAAGTGTCTGCAATTTCATTTTAGATTCGATGTTTTTCTCTGATTTACTTAGGAGATCCTCCATGTCATTGCCAATATATACCACATTTGGTGTTACCGATTTCAAATTCAGCTCTATTGCAATCAGGCGTTTTATTGCATCAAGTTCCTTTTTTAAAACTTTATTCTGCTCCTGTAGAAGGTTGACAATCGTATCGGACAGTACGTTGCCAGTCACGCCTCTGTTTGGGGTAACAATTGCTATCCCCTCAGCGGCTTTCAAATGCATTGCTTCTCTAATGTCCGTGATAAATGCAGCCACCTGCAATGTTTATTGCCCAGAATAAGTAGTCATTTTGACAACATTATTTCAGCATCGTAATACTGCGATAGCACAGTGACACAATGACACAACATATCTATGCATTGATAGTAAGATTTAGAGATGATCAGGTCACATTTTTCAAAGGAAATCCAACGAAATGATGTGTTGCAAAAGATTTAACTAAGCACTCGAACATCAACGGGCTCAAACTATCTATATGGAATCTATCTTTTGCATGGCAGCCTTGTTGTTGAGTGCCTTATCTATTGCTAAAGATGTAAAAAAAAAAGATTGGGAAGTATAATACAATGATAGAAGTTGTAAGATGAAGCTCGGCACTTCAAAATCATAACATCTACCAGTTTAATAACTATAATCATTGGAGATAGATCCTGTAATTCTATACTTATGTTCTTATTCTGTAATGAAAAGCTACAGTTTCACACTAACCTCATTTTGCTGTTTCTCAATTAATGCCGTTATCTTCTTCAGCAGTGATGTTAACAGTGCAGACTCTGGTATAAGTTCTTTCATCTTGCGCATCCTCACTTCATTTGCCACCCAAGTGCCAACAATTCCAAATAATGCACCGAATGTGGAACCTATAATTGTCCACGTTTTTACTCGATCCGATCTGAAACATTCCCGAAAATACACGATACTTGGATCTAAATTATTTCATTAAAATGAATAAGAAAAAAAATACTACGAGAAGAAACAAGATTAATTATGATATGCTGTTAACGTGACCTAGTATCTATAACCATTTACCCAAAGTAACTTGAAATGAAAAACATCACCTCCTTCTTTTATCAGAAAGGTTCAAACTTACTGTTCCTGTTCTTTAGCACGACTGGTCCGAAGAGTACTTGATAATTCATCAAATGCAGCTTTTTCGGCTTCATCCGCTTTTCTGACTTCAGCAATTAAAAGTTGCTCACTTTTTATGACCGCATGTTCTTCAGTTAACAGACGTAAATACCTGCAAATTTTGCAAATTCATGTATTTAAAAACAAGAAAACTCACGATGATATTTGTTTTAGAAGGCCTGAACTTAAAATGAACCAATAAAGCAATTTCGTCAACTCACATCATTAACTGCTACTAGCTGGAAACTGTGTGTTTCAATCACATCTACTACGTCAGACAAAATTCGGCTAAAATTTTTTCAAAAAACTAATGGTCTATAAAAGTAGAAAACAATCAACTATTCATCTACGTGTAGCAATGATAATATAATATCTATGAAGTTAGTCGACGGCTGATACCAATTTTAGGAATATACTTCAAAAATGAAAAGCAAAATAGCCAAGAAAGAGATAACACATACTTATCATCCCCACGAGAAAATCTGTCCAGTTCACTGTGTATCTGTTTCATACGAATTTGTAACGCATCCAACTCATCACGTTTTTTACGCCGTAATACTTGAGCATCTTGCAATTTTTTTTCGTTCTGAAATAGTGTTAATGCTGTCAACAGCATTCACCAACACTACTGTTCTGAGCACAATCCAGTAAGAATTCTGTATTACATGAATTCCTTTTATGCCAATTCCTCCAATTTAATCCTCCATGCACAAAGGACTAGTCGAATATTTAAAGCGTAACATCTTTTGGTGTCTGTTCAACCATGAGCTGAATGTAAAATGCGTGTTCTAGAAGTCCTTTCACGGCGCAACTCATTAAATTATTTTATCCTCACTAGATTGGATACTCTAGGATCATCTTAGTTTATCAATACAGGACAGTTTTTTTCGGATTTGTTCAAAAAGGAATTTCATCAAAACAGTACTGCAAATATGTTTATGTTCATCGTTATCATAAAATGTATTCCAGAAATGTTGGATTTCTAAGATTAAAAATAACCTGTCTTAACGTTGCATGAGCTTCACGAACTTCTGTAGCACCTGTCACATCATCAATATAAGAAATTACCCGACTGATAAGTTTGAAAGGTTTGAAGGTGTCCGGCAAACCGGACAAATTTCGAGTTGAAATATGTCTAGAATATACCAACCGCGCACCATACAACGGCATATTCTGATCACAAAAAATTGCTTCTATCAAATTCGATTTAAACAATAGCTTATAGAAGTTTTCCACCAAACATTTTACTTTATCTGAAGGCATTTCCCTTTTTTTTTTTTTTAAAAAAAAGGCAAAAATAAAAAAAAAAACATAATAATGTACCTTAAAGTAACACGAGGAACTATTTTCTTCCGATTATCGGAAACCCAACCATCAACGATATGGCGAATCTTTTTTGAAAGATCAACACCTCATTTGAGTGCTATCGAGCTTTCCCCTACACTAATGAATCATCTTCTGATAAATATCTTTTTTTACATGGCCAGCCAAAAACTTTAATGAGCTATGGTTCCCTTAACAGTGGTACTGCTTTAAAATAGGTTATTCGATTCTGCACTCTGCAAGGTACTATTCCTCGGAGTAATGAGTAAATACTAAAATGTACAGGAAGTTGTAATAATGATAAAAGCTTTCTGTGAGTCAGAAGAACGAGAAATTAAAATTATTGCCTGTTAGAAGATATCAGTTAAAAATTATTTGTTGACAAAATTCTAAAATACTGAACTATCAATGTGTCATAATGATGGAAAAGAATTGAATACTTTAGTTACTCATAAATTACACAAGCATCGTACACTAACAGGACTCAGAAAGTCCAGAAATAAAACCATTATCAACTTCTCAAACGGACAAACGTAGTAGACCTTTCGTCTCGAAAGGTGGTCACGAAATGAAAACAGCAAAGTCCCGGAGTGTGAGTAACTTGTAGCAGTGATGGTTTTGATTATGGTTGGATTGCTGGTACTTTTAGGGACGTTTTTGTCCACTTCACCGCAGAATTACATGAAACCAGGAAGAAGAATAACTTTTCTAGAGTCACCCTTCTCCCTGATTTCAGGATGTGAATGTTGTCAAAGTTAAAACACCATTCGATTTGAGTGTCGCAATGAATGGAGTATAATCACAAAATTTTCACGCTTCATTGCACTCATTTTCCAATATTTGTTTGGAGGAAATCATATACAAACAGAATGGACAAAACTGATCTATTTTCCAAAGAAAATTTTTAAAGCTAAGCAAAGAATATTTTTGAAAGGTAAATTTATCCATATTTTGCATATTGCAAAAGCAGTGTGCTTGTCCACTTGTAATATCACACACGGAATCCATTTAATTTCTCTAAACTCTCCAAGTAATGGATCATCTAGAAGTATGTGCTTTTCTGGAATGTTCACCATCGACAGTGTCGACGGCGACATATGATGGAAGGGATAATGATGATTAGTCACATTCCAGTATATTTTAAATGATGGACTATCATGTTTTTGTCTGCTACGACAGATGAGATAATAAAGCAAACAGTATTCTGTCAAATCAAATATTTTTTCCAACATTCGAAAATCATGTATAGGGTCATGTAACGATCAAAACTGAAGTCATTACTCTGTTAATAGCAGTGAATTTTAGTATTTCAGGAAAATATTATGAAGGGTTCGTCCTCACATACTTTTGAACTGCATCATAAAATTAACTTGTTTTCGAACCAAAACACGAAGAATAAAGCTGTAGCATTATTTAATTAAAAGTTGGGAAAGAAGGCATATTATTTGTGTAGATAAGTTTGTATGTTAACGTATTTGCTTCCAGCTCTTTGCAGCCGTTTCATCTTTGAAAAAAAAGAGTTGTTCAAAAATGAATCACAATTATCTGCTCTCCATTATCGTTGCAGCCATCTGTGTACTTGACCTGCAGGGAAAAGGAAAAAAACGAAATAGTTTCTGCTCTTACATTGTTAAAGGGAATATTACTGCATGGAGCAAAAACTCTAATTCCTTGTTATGGCATGATATAATGTATGGTTTCAGCGACAACTGTTCGGTTTGCAAGATTTTAACATTTCTAAAATTCTTGTTTCACTGTCCGGTTTTAGATCTAAAATGTGCTGACTATTATTTCTGATACTGGATATCTTCCCGCTCTTCTTATTAACTTCCAAAATAGGCGTTCTTTGTCAGCGCAGCTCATAATTATGAATGATTTCTCCCCACTAAGATCATGCTGCATGACAATTTTACAATCCAAACTTGATGATTCAATTTTACTAATGAACAGTTTTACGCAATGAACAATAATAGCAAGCAAATCAAGTGGCTAGAATGTTAATGTTGAAACTGTTAATGTGCAGCGCAAACGAATTATACAGATTAAATTAAGCACTCATTTCTAAGATAGCAGAAGATAAAGCTAACTATTCAATCCTCTCATGAGATCTTAAGTGAAGTGGTTGTAACTGGGAATCCCTGATTGGAATTCGTTGCCTATAACGTGAACACTACCTTTTTTCGAAGGAAATGAACACTAATGAAATGATGTGGGAATAAGACTAATAAGATAGTAATTCGTCTAATAAGATTGATAAAAAAAACTAAAGGCATAATAAGACATAGTGATTCGTCCTCTCATAACTGCAGAATTATGCTTTTCCACTACTCCTACTACTATCACCTTTGTTTGTCGTTCTTTGCTGGTTCGTTCCTGCTACTTCTGATGTTGGTGCTGCTACTGCTACTGCTACTGCTACTGCTACTGCTCAGAATCAACAACCGCAAGTGATGAGTGATTAGGGTCGTGACGATGACTGCAGGCCGGTCGGGTCGGAAAGGCATTGAGCTGTGATGAAGAAGAAAGGAAGGTGGGTGGAGGGAGGTTGAATAGTATCTGGAAGTTGTAAGAGTCAGCTACCGCATCTGCTTCATGATATGTTAGAACAAACGGTAAAAATGGGAAAGAGAGAGAGAGAGAGAGAGAGATGGAAAGAATACAGGCAATTTTGGTGCATTGAGAGAGTTGTCGACGACTGCCTACTGAGTCCCAACAACCGACCAGCCATCCATCTCTTCATCCATTCATTCATTCATCTAACCTTCGGTGGTGATCATCGGTGGAAAGATCCCGAGCAGTTTGTTACAAGAAAGAGGAGAGAGAGAGAACTATGGGACCTTGACCCTTGATCGGTTGGTCATCAGTACACGATCTATACCACCTGAGCTACTGTTTCTACTCCTGAAAACAGACCAATAGAGCTGGTGTTGTGAACCTTCTCTTACCAACTCAACTTTATACGACACGCTTCATCGCTGCTGTGATCATGCCTGTATTCCATACTAAAACCATTGAAGGCATTCTAGAGCCTGTCGCACAACAGGTAATCCTTACTGCAAACCTTCTTTCCTGTGCTTGCTATAATTTTTTCACATTTCGGGCCTTTAGGCATTTTTTTATTGTTTTGTTCGTCAACATTTGGGTCACCTAGCCTTTCTATGCCTTTTTAACTTCTTAATTGTTCAGTTAACCAAATGAGGCTTTTTTGGGATAACATTAGGCTACTGCTATTCTTATTTCGAGAAAATAACAGTAATCAACTCGAGACAAACACTAGGAACTTCTTTGGGGGAGAAACTCGGTTTTGCTTTTCTACTGCTTCTCAAGTGATACTTGCTAATTATGATTTAGGTATCTCCCAGAACATGGATACTATGACAGGCTCCCTATTCCAAGCCGCCATTTCCCAGTTTTAATGGTTGGTCCCTGCACTTTAACCCAAAACTGGAATTTCAATGAAATATGGAATTCCTTTATTTTACAAAAATTTGAAGATATTTTGAATGTTGAGATTGCCTGATTGTGCATTGCCTACTATCAGTTTACTGATTAAGTTACGGACTGGGATGTTTTTTTCTGATATTTCAGATTCTCCAAGCTTAAGTTTTTATCTTTCAGTGAAGAAATTTGTGTAGATTCGTGGTCAGAGAAAAATTCATTTAGAATTTCGATCTTATCGTTAGCATAAGTCTGTTCATTAAAATATATAGTTCTGTCATGCATTTAACAACAGATTTGCATAGATTTAGCGTAGATCCATAATGGGAAAAATGAATATTGTGTTATCAAGCTGTTAGATGAAGATAAATTAGGAGCGGTGCTTAAATTTAATGGTTGATCACTGTTAGCAGTAAGAAATGAACTTGATAACTCGTGTATCATATGGTGATGTAATTCTTTTTAAATTTGTCTTGCGAGATTATTGTTAAATACACTTCTGGAAATTGTGCTGCATTCAGTTTCCTGTTTTTTTTCTGACTGAGTTAGTAATCGATGTACACACACTGTGTAGATCAGACTGCTTCAGCATGTAGGATCGGTGTATTGAAGAGAGATGTGTGAGTGTGTATTTGCTTGACATGTGGATGAATGTATTATCTTATCTGTCTAATAGAACTTGCGAGTGAAGTGGGTCGTTGATTGCGGATTGAGTTGCCACTTGCAGTTCTACATGAAAGGAGCAGAAGCACTTCACGCAGGCTGTGTGGGTGGCTAGCTATCCTGCACCTTGTACCCCTGTGCTAGCGTTAGTACTAAACAACGCATATACACCAGACTCACCCACTTCCTAGAGTGAGTGATTCAGAAAAATGCGATCGCTGTAAGGTAGACCAGCTGTTGGCATCATCATCATCATCATTATCATTATCATCATCCTTTGAGATAACATTATCGCGTTAAATATAGCACCTGACATATGGTAGTGTACGGAATGTTCTTCCATCAGTGCTTTTCCAAAAAGACGCAACAGCTCTTAGCTGTTGTCCATTCTTTCCTCGCATACATAGCACAGTGAATATGAATAATTACGGATAGCTGTGAGTTACCATACTCATAAACAATAATTCACAGAGCTCATATGTGCTTTATGTTTCTTGCAATATGTTGCGCAGGTGGGATTAAATGAATACGTGGATGCGATGAAGAATGAAATTAATCTTGCATTGCTTAGACACACTTCAATGATATCATTATCAATGGATGAATAATCGGTTCCAGGACTCGAGATAGCTTTCACGTACTATTGTGAGCATTCATATGAACTTGTATGGAATGCGTTTCTTTCAATTTTTAGCCACTCATAACTTTTACTATATTTTGTTCATTTAACATTTGCAAATTTTTCAGCTTCGCGAAATATATCTCAGTCATCATAATGCATACGGGTTTTTAATTAGCAATCATATTCAGTCCACAAACATGCGGGAAAGAGTATTTGTGAACCAAAAGTGAAAAGTCATTTTCACATTTTATTTCTCCCGTCTTCCGTCTTTATCAGATAGATAGGAACAACCGAAAGTTTTCCTGTTTGTCAGATTATGCTGCCTGAAGGATCGAACGGCTGAGTTTTTCCTTCTTGTTTTTGTGGTTGCGCATCATCGTCCTCTATTGCGTTTTCATTCTACTCATCACAGCGAGCCAGTTAAAAAGGATTTCGATCAGTGTATTATGTATCATTTGTTCTCGTATATCCATTTTTCAATCTAAATCATTCTGTTAAAGTTTGATTCATCTAATTCATTTATTTTTCTTTGATTGTATTTCATTTCTAAATGTTTGGACGGCATTTCTCTATTTTCATGCTGTTGTTTCTTTGCTTGTCCGTAAAGTGTAGATGTTTTGTTTGGGTTTTTTTTTGTTTTTAATCTGTTCCCGGGAACGCATTGAACATTCATAAGGAGTTAAGCTCAGTTAATCCTTCTAACAAGTATTCATATTTTTGGCAAGTGTGGATTTGAAAAGGCATCTACGCGCAACGGTATCGTGCGCATCACTTTTAATGTAAACAAAATACATATACTTTGCTATATTCAAAAAAGACTTCGGCCATTATACTTCTAAGTATTCCTTTTTTATCTTTGCAACTCAGTTAGTTCTTACGCAAGATCTTTTTTCGCTGACTTAAGCAAAAAATTTTTCGGAGCCTGGAGTATTACATTTTGTATAACTTATTTATACTGAAGCTTTTCAGAGTGACTGAAAACTAGCAAAATAAGATCAAAAAATTATCATGAAATTATTTGATCGAAGCTGTTATGCAGTCAAGTATGATACGTTTAATTTTCGAACTCGTTGCAGGTATCGCGTTTGGTAATTCTTCATGAAGAAGCCGAAGATGGAAACGCAGTACCAGATCTTACCCGACCCGTTGGTGCCGTATCTCGAGCGGTTGACAATCTCATCAAGGTCCTCATTTCATTACTTCTCTAGATTATAGTTGATGTGCACACATTTCTTATCAAATAAGCATAGCGACTTTGAGGTTTCTATTGAAGCAATTTTTTGTTCCAAAGCTTAATTAGAACATTATTCAGGTTGGCTATGATACGTGTCATTCGTCGGATGATCGGATTCTGCAAGCAGATATGCCACCAGCTTTACAGCGAGTAGAAGCTAGTTCTCGTTTATTGGAGGATGCCTGCCATATGCTCAAAGCGGATCCATATGCAAGTGTTGCAAGAAAAAAGTTAATCGAAGGAGCTAGAGGCATTTTGCAGGGCACATCTGCTTTACTTCTATGTTTTGATGAATCCGAAGTGCGAAAAATTATCCGTGGTTGCCGTAAAGTTCTAGACTATTTGGCTGTCGCTGAAGTGATTGAGAGCATGGATGATCTGGCGCAATTCGTTAAAGTAAATTTATTTTCGTTTTTAATTATGCCGTTGTGTCCCTACATTAGAAGGTGCATGATGTTTTAAATTTTGTAGTGCTCTTTCAAATAATTTTTAGTATTTAATTCTCTGTTTTTCTCTGTTTTTTTTCTCTGGATTTCAGGATATCAGTCCATGGTTGACTCGAGTTTCACGAAACATTGATGCAAGAGAAAAGGAGTTAACGCATCAAGTTCATCGTGAAATATTGCTGAGGTGTATGGATACTGTGAAAACCCTTTCACCAATCATGATTTGTGCAATGAAAATATTCATTCAAATCACCGAGGAATCGCAACGGGGGCAACAAGAAGCAGCAGAAAATCGTAATTATTTGGCGCAGAGAATGATGGACGAAATGAATGAAATAATCCGTGTGCTACAGTTAACGACATACGATGAAGATGAATGGGACAGCGATAATGTCACAGTTATGAGAAAGGCTCTTAGTGCCGCACAAAGCCTGCTTACCTCAGCTTTAGATTGGCTTGCTAATCCACGTGGTCGTGCTGGTGCTACAGGTGAAAAGGCAATACGGCGTATTGTGGATTATTCTGAACGAATTGCTGCACGAGCACTACCGGAAGATGCTCGCCTTATTAGGCGTACTGTGAGTGACATTACCTCGATGACTGATTCACTTTGTGAATTGCGTAGCCAGGGTGGCGACAGTCAGGGTTTGGCCAGTGGATGTGCAAACAGATTAAAGGAACTTGTTGGTACGAAAGAAATTAGTGGTATTTTACCTGGTGCACTTACGAACACACAACGCACTGGTGGTGCTCATCCTGCGCACACTGTTGCAGGACGTCTTGAGCAGGCTCTTAGGTGGCTGGATAATCCAGGAGTTGACGATGATGGTTTAGGTAGTTTATCATTAATGTGTATTAGTATAGATGATCAGATGTGGAGTGACTGCTTATAGTATAAACTTAACTACTAAATTTCTTTTACCTTAATAGTTTCGAATATAATTTAATAAGCAATGTTGTTTTTCATGTTTTCAGGTGCTAGACTCATTTAACATTTCAAAGCACGATTTTTCGTTGTTGTCCTTAAAAAATGAGTTTTCAGCAAAATAATGACGGCTGAAAGTGAGTGGAATTTCGTTTTAAAATCTTTGGGTTTGAATTATGGAAATGTACTTCATGCCACAAACTTCTTTGTTCTTCACTCTGCAAGGAATAATCTTTTCAGGATTGCAAGCAGTAAAAGCAATGACAAATGAGGCGCGTAATCTCGGCGAATTACTGCCGTCTGCAGAACGTGCCAAGTTGCTCGATCTTTGTGGAGAAATCGATCGGCTTGCAGATCAATTGGCTGATTTGGAACGTCGCGGTCTTGGAAATTCTCCAGCAGCGCATGCTCTACGCAATCAGCTGCGTAATAAATTGCATGAATTAGCAGACTTTATGAAGAAAGTAATCACGGATCGAGTCGTTGAAGACTTTGCTGATATTAGTACACCACTGAAGCAGTTTGTTGATGCTGTTTATGCGCCGCCAACGATGATTAATCGTGAAATGAACTTTGAAGAAAAGGCGCGTAACCTGAATGATCACAGCTCCAGATGTGCAAGTACAGCCTTGCTTGTTGCAAAATGTGGTCCGTGCAAGAATAAAAAGATTGTTGAAGCTATTATTGAGACAGCAAATCAGGTATGTAATTTCAAAACTCATGATTTATGTTTATTTATGTAGATTCTGTTCTCTTCATAAACTATCGTCGCCAAATATCATAGAATTGCATTTGTAAAAAGTTTGAAATTTAAATATTTTTGATATCTCAGCTTAAGTATATTTCGCCCTCTGCTTTTTTTGTGGGCAGGTATGTTACTATGCAGCTAAGGTTATGTCTGCATTTTTTTATTAGCCTTGCTTATAATTTCTAAAACACTGTTTTTCCCCCCGCCATTCAAGAGCACTATTTTATTACAGGTGAATGCAATGACACCGCAGGTGATCAACGCCGGAAAAATACGTTTGCACAACGATAGCGATTCGGCCAATCAGCACTTTGATAATTTACGACGTGAATACACGGACGTTTTGAACAGACTACGTTCTCATGTTGATGATGCCATCGACACTGGCGATTTCATTCGTGCTAGTGAACAGGCAATGAGACAGTATACAGCGTATTGTGAGAATGCGATTCGAAATAATGAACCGCAACAAATGGTGGACAATACATCGCAAATAGCACGATTTGGGAATCGTGTCCTCATGACGGCCAAAAATGAAGCTGATAATTCGGAAGAACCAAGCTTCGTGCATAGAGTGAACAATGCAGCTCAGCAACTCCATTTTGGTTTGTTTATTGCTTTCCTCAGAAAATTCAATTGTTTTAAGACTTCTTGTGAGCCATTCTCAAATATCATTTTGAATTTTGACTAGAAAAAATATGTTTTATCAACCCGCCATTCTTGTGTCATGCATTTCAGCGATTCCTCCAATGGTAAATCAAGCGAAGCAGGTGGCACTGAATCCTCGCCATAGTGGTAACGCACAGAGTTGGCGTGATACAAATGAGCACTTGTTATCTGCCGTACGGCAAG